GAAATGATGTACAAATACGCTTTACACAATTGATGTGTGTATGGATTGGGATAACAGTTGTATGAGCCCCTAATAAAATGTTTAAAAATAAAAAATAAAAAAATAATTGTTGGAGTAAAAAAGAACTAGTGGCAGATGCAGGGTTTGGAGGGCACATAAGAAGTCAGGATTTTTTCTCTGCTCTGTTGGGCTTGGACACTGGTTTCCTTAGGCAGTCCCCAACCTATCCAACCCCTTTGCCCTAGTGCCTGAATGACCTGATATTAGGGAGTGTCCCATTATACAAGTGGGGGACAGGGCAAAAAGAGCGTCCGGGTTGGAGGGGGCTGGGGCAGAGCTGGAGCGGGGAGATAAGGTCTCAGCAGGAAGGAGAGGAGAGGCCACTGGACTCAGCCAGCCGGTTTCCGGACTCAGGCCCAGAGAGCTGCACCCACATAGGATGGCCAAGGGACCAGGGGAGTGGGCCTGTGGCATCTCCTTGATCATTCTGAGATCTGGACCTGAAGGGTGGGTTCAATTGGGTCCTCAGTCTCACCAGCACAGCCACCCTCACCCAGGAGGGGAGGCAGCTAGGGTGCCGGTGACTCGGGCTTGAAAACCACTTCCTTCTTGAGAAGTAGGAAGGAGGCAATACCCAAGGAACCTGGCGGCAGCGGCTGCAGGAAAGTCCTGGGGAGGTTCCTGAGCAGGAAGAAGGAAGCTGCTGACCTCACCTCCTGCCCAAAGCCCACCCACAACTCTTGTCCTAGACCTCTCATTGGCCTCCCAGCCCCCAGAAGCCTCAGCTTCTTCCCACCTCAGGGAGACTCGGCCAGGACCACAGTCTGAGGCAGGGGTCTCTGGGCATCTGCAGAAGCATCCTTCCTGGCTGGCACTGATCCCCCCTCGGCGTTCTACATACTCTACGCACTCCACCCCGAGCACACACACACACATACACACACCTTCCTCCCTTTGCAGAGGGTCACACAGCTTGTCGCCCCTCAGCCTCACCAAGGGAACAGGGAGCCGAGGAGGGAGGACTCACCAAAGGAAGGAGCAAGCGCAAAGACTCCCAGCAGCAGGAATAAGCTCACTCCCAGTGCTCTTGGCCTTTATTCCCTTGCTCCCGTCCCCAGGAAGCCAGAGACAAGAAAGGGCCAATGAGAAGGGGTCAGGGACCTGAGGAGGCCCCAGCCAGAGCCTCCTGGGACAGAGATGAGGAGAAACCCCTTCCACCAATTTCATCTTCGCTGTTTGAAAACAAAGAGGATGGATGGGGACACGCTGAATGCATCATCACACACACACACACACACACACACACATCTTCCGTCAAAGATTTTCCAACCCACAAACCTGATGGGAGAACCAGGCACGAGAAACCCCAGGCCTTCAGGGGGTGAGGGGGTTGTCAAATAAGGAGTCTTCTTTCTGAACCACTCTCCACTTTGGACACTCCCACCCACCCCGAGAGCAGAGCAGACACATCTGCAGATGGCGATCGGTGAGGGAAGCTCTTCCCCGGTCAAGGGCATGGTCAAGGCTATTGTCTAGTACAAAGTCGAAGGTGTTTCATGCCTTTTCACTAAATGATGTCTTCTAAGCTTCAGTGATATTCATGGGAAAAGAATTGTTGGAGACTCTTGGGACAAAGGACTGAGACACAGGAATTGGAGAATGAATCCAGAAAAGGATGGGGTCCTAATGATGATGAAGAGTCCAGGTTGAGAGTGCAGTCACCGATCGGGTAGGGAGAAGGCATAGCTGCCTGTATCCCAGGAGAGAAGCAGACACTGGTCCACCACCAAGCAGCCCAAGCACAAGAACGGAACCAAGCAAGGGTGCTTAGCAACTAGGGTTTTCCACAGCATCGTTCTAGCCTGCCTGGATTCCCCACTCCCCACCCCCACCCCAGCACTCCCACAGACCCCCACACTACCCTCACCCCCAGCTGGCAGGGCTGGAGAGGCAGCAAAGACTGGTTGCTAAGCAATGGGAGTTTCCGTGTAGAGAGTGATGCAGGAGGAGACTCAGGGGAGGGCGCTCCCAGGGAAGATGGGCAGAGAAACCCCTGGGTGGAGGAGAAGAAGAAGGGAGGGAACCAAGCTTTTTCCTGGACCAAAATCCTACCCAAGTCTCTGTGGAAAAACTCAGAGGGAACGTGTGAGTCACCCACTTCTGAAACATGCAAGAAAAACACAGTGTGATTGAGTGGCAGGAGGAAAGGCTTGAGGGGTCAGAGCCCTGCCACTGACCCTGACCTCCCTCATCTCTTCCTTCAAGCTCCCCCACATCATCAGCCATGACCTTGAGTTCTCATCTCATGGCCACCCACTGTGTCCTGGGGACCGTTGGCCTTTCACCTCCCAGCCCTGCACAAAGCCATGTCATATGTGAAGTGGGGGTGGGGATAGAGAATCCCAATTTCCTTTAATCAGATCATCTTGTCTGAAATTTTGGCTCAAAATTATGGCCACTTCCCCCACCATCTCCCTCGCTCCCACACCAGTCGCCTTCCTCCACTCAGCCTTTCCGAGGTTTCTCCTCCTCCCCTGAAACACATGTTCCCTAATTGGTAACAGACCTTATCCCATGGGCCTTTGGGGCAGGGACAGTGGATTGGAGAGAATGGCTATATTCTCATGCTACTACAAATAGCCTAGTTTTGCTCCATGTCAGCCTCACCGACCCAACCCCGGGCAGTAAATGGGTTAATACATTCCTGTAGTTTGGAGCCAGTGGACTGTAAAATGTCAGGCCTGAGAGCCAACCCTCCTCCCCATCCCACTCTGGCTTGGGGCAGACCTCCCTGACACACACCACCCTGGCCTCACCTCTCCCTCTCTGTGACTCAGCCCTAGTCCCTCCCCCCTCCTCTGCCCCAGGACACCCAAACCCTTTTCCAGACCCCAACCAGGAGCAGATGTGACCTTCAAATCCATTCCCCCCTCAGTTAGAGCTTGGGCCAGAGGCAAGGAATGAGGTGGGAGGGGAGAGCGGGCTAGCTAAGTCCCCACAGCTGGGCATTCCAAGCCTCTAGTGGCCCCTTTCCC